AAGAGTCAATGAGTCGATTCAATCAGCTGGTTTTCCTTAGATAGAAAACTTTGAATAAATATGACTGGATGATCTGGTTAATTGTTAGCTGCCTTGAGATGACATGTGTTGTGAATTGGCGCCATAGAAATAAACTGAATTAAACTGAATCGAATAAAAAATACTGTATTAAGATTATATTTAGACATCATTCTCATTCTGACAAATAAGTTTTAATGAAACCAGATTCTAATTGAATATCATGGAAATAGGAATAATGATGCAATAACAATGCAAAAACGTATTTGCACCCCTAATTAAGACTAATACTTTGTTGAAGTGCTTCCAAATTCGGTAAAAACGCTCAGTCTTTGTGGATGCATGCAACACTTTAGGTTTATGGAAAATGTTAGTCAACATTTGAAAAGATTTCCAAATGTGCCAAAAGGCAAGATGGTCTCCAGGTCTTCCAACAGACAAAGGTTACATCAGAATTCAGCAGATTGTTGGCACGCTAAAAGCCTCTTCAGCTGGACTAAAGCCCCACCTTTAACAGAGGAGAATCCACCATCCCCAAGTATGCCGCTGCCATGACTGTGTTTCACAGAATGATGAACAGGTTTTAGCAGATTTTAGCAAAGTCTTTTCTCCTGAAGAAAATGTTGCAGCTCTTTAGAAGAACCCAAGCCAGGTGATAAAACACAAACAGTATTTGGCAAACATTCCTCAAGCTCCTTTGGTTTTCTGCTTGTCGTTTCCTCCATTTAAACATCTGCTGTAACTTAATCCTCTTTCCGGAAGCCGAGAACAGTCGTGTCCCTCCGATATTTTTTCACAGTGGTTTTCTTGAGAAAATAAGTTAATTTTGTCATTATCTAAAGATAATGAAAGCCATTTTCTCGTGATGACGAGATGATTGGTGTGTGTTAAAACTGATTACATCCTTCAATACAACAACAGTGGGAGAGGATGTATAAGTCTAAGTCATGGCAGCCTGTGTGTAATTCTGTTAATAGTCCTGTGTCTAACTTTTAGGTAACCAGACGACTTCTGATTGATAAGCGGTTAGACCGATACCTCCAGGTGTTTCTGAACAGAGCGGGTGTTATGCCTGCAACAGCTATAAGATGCATTAACCCCCCAAAAGATTAAAGATTTTCATTTTTAAAAAAAAGTTCAGATTTGTTTCTGCTGTATTCCATGAAATCCAATCATCCAACACAACCTGACAATGAGTGAAAAGAAAAAGGAAACTAAAAAACTGATTATTTGCGCATAGGCAGTACCACGACTGCACAACTATGGAACCAGCAGGCATGGATGGACTGGGAAACCAGGGCTGTTAGTCTGCCTCATTCATTACTCAGGTTAATCATCTTGTTATCTCAAGAAATCAAAACTGTTTCCTCGTGATA